CCCAGGGCGGTCCAGGAGGATTTCCAGAGGATAATGGGGTAATGCGAACTGGCAGAGAGCAGTTAATGGGATATCGGCGCGGAAGCAAGAGGGAGGAAGGCAGAGGAAGGGAGCTGGCACCGTAGGGGCACCGTCTCAGGGAAGGACTGGTGAAAAGCAGTGAGGAGCGGAGTGGATAAAACCTCTGGAGGATTCAGTCGAGGATCGGGGCTCCCGAGAAGGATTATTTGCTGGGGGAGATTGAGGAGGCTAAGGACCAGTGGCTGGGAAAGGGCTCAGCACCTCTCCAGACGGGGTGCTGAGGGGCTCCTGCTGCTTTATCTCGGTGTCACTGTCAAAAGGTTAAGAAAACTCTGGATGCAGTAGGAGGGGGGGTAATTTTCAGCCAGGGTGCGCTGTTGGAGGGGGTGTGAGGGGTAGGGACACACCTCACAAGAGGCAGCAGACTCTGAGATAGCAGCAGCTGCCATCACTGCTGGCTGCGGGTGCTCGCTGCTGGGGAGGGACGGTCTCCAGAGGCAAGTCCCTGAAGGGGAAGGTGATTTGTAACTGTTTAAAGTGCTGTCTTCTGGCATTTTCTGGTTCTCCTTTCACCCTGACACCTGACCTTTTGCGCACAGAAACACAGGGGATGGGGGGGGGGAAGCTATGTATTATCAGGTTATGCAGGTTTCTGTAGCTTCTGTGTCCATTTCTCTGACTCTTCATCATCTTTGCTGCTTCTTCTGATGTTTTTTGATCAAAGAGTTTTACTCCCCTCAGGACAATCTTCACATCCTACCAACTGGAGGAACTGGAAAAGGCCTTCAATGAGGCCCACTATCCTGACGTATATGCTAGAGAGATGTTGGCCATGAAAACAGAGTTGCCAGAAGACAGAATACAGGTAATCATATCTCTCGGACCCCCTTATCCCACCCCTCTCAGACATGTTCATCCCTTCCTGAAAAAAAGGTAGAGTCATGGGAAGGCGGACATTGCTTTGAACAAATCTCTCCAGGCTGTCCATTCCTCTGCTCTTGATGGGTAGGCAGCCAGATCAGCTGTTTTTGGACAGATTTGTATTTGGTGTTTGTGTGTTGACATGTGCTGTACGTGGTGTGTTGTACTGGTGATTCAGGAGGTGTGTGACAGAGGGAATCCTAAATCATTGAAGGCAAATGAGTGTGCAAGGGACGTCTACAGCATTTTGAGCTCTTGGTGGCATAGGCAAGAGGAGACCCTCCTGGAGACGCAGTCTGGGTGGGCAGTGTGGGAGGGAAGGAGCTCACCTCTGCTCATTTTGGGTGCAGGAGGATGCGTATGGGTGTTGTAGGCAGCCAGTACTGCTGTGGGTAGGACCGCAGTGTGGGGGTGGTGGGTGAGTCCCTGGGAGGTGTTTGCACCATCTCTGCACTTTCACTGCATTTGCCTCCTCAGGTAAAGCGTCCCTGAAAGTTTCTGGGGATAATTTTTTGTTAATGATTTTTAATGTTTGGAGTTTAATTATGTGCCAGTGCTGTCGTGCCACTGTGAGGAGGTAGAAGACTGTGTGGAGGGAGCATCGCTGCTGTGTGGTGAATCCTCCAGTGGTAGGGAGCAACCTGAGCCTTAGGGCTGTGCCAGCACCAGCCTTTGCACACCGGCTGCCATGCACACCAAGCAATCGTTACAGTGCAAAAAGCTGGAGAAGGCTCACAGCTGCTGTGTGCAGCATGGGAGGCACCATGTGCTTGGACAGACCCAACATGAAGTTCACAAGTGTGGACTCCAGCAGCTTCTGCTGCTTCCCTCCTCCCCATGCCCTGCTCCTGCCATTGCTGCACAAGGCACAGGAGTGGAAAGGCCAAGCCTTGAACCCATTTTGGCTGGTGCAGGTGGTGTTTCTTGGCTGGATGGGGGTTAAACTGATGCAGTAGGATTTTGCTCTGAGCAACAGGCCCTGATGCTTTGCCTCTAGAGAGAGTGAGCTGGATGGAGGGTCACTTCTCCACTTGTGACCCTGTAGGATGTCAAATCAAGAGAGGAAAGACCATTTGGTGCTGGGTTGGAAAGAAGGTTCTTCAGTTTCCTGTGAAGGGCCTTTTCAAGGAAGAGGTTCATCTGGTGGCACTGTATGAACTGCAGAGGCACCATTTCTCTGGCCAAAACTGAGGGCCTTCACTATGGGTGAGGCAGAGGGGAGATGTTATGGCAGGCATTGCAGAGATGGACACAGCATCTGGAGCATCCTTCTAGTGCTGAGACTCAGTGTTTTATCTGATTTAGAAGGGAAATAGTGGATAAGGTATCTTAGCTGTCACTGACTTGCTGCCAGCATGTCCCTGTGCAGCTGGCTAATGAACAACTGCCTACTCTTGCTGTATTGCAGAGTTTTTAAAGCCAGGTGTGCTCGTAAGGACCCCTTTGCCATAGGGATCAGGTTAGACATGGACAGCAGAAGCACCCTGTTGCTGTCCTAAACATCAGGTGTTGCTAATGGCAAAAGTATTCCAGAAGAAAGTGCTTGTGAGAAACACTTTTGCTCATCATGAAAGGGGAAATCATGAGAAGCAGCAGAATTTCTGTCATCTGTTGCATGAGAGAATGAGCACCGTGCCAGGGTGAGCACCAGGGCCATGTAGGAGTCCTGAGCACCACTGATCTTTCCATCGGGTCAGCAGCCAGTTGTCCCTTACCACATACTGTGTGAAGTTTCCTTGTCCATACTTTTTTGGTGTGTCACAAGCCATGAAAAGATGATTCTCAGCCTTGGTCATGCTTCTTGATATTTCACCTCATGTTCCTTTTCAACCTTAGCACCTCCTTTTGTATGAGCCTAATTCTTCCCCCCCTTGTTACGATGTTCACAGCCTTTAAATAAATCTAAGCCATTTCTTCTCCTGGCTGTCACTTTTGGTTTTCATCATCACTTAAGCAAGCTGTGAAGATCTTTTCTTAAATCATTCCTCATAAATCACACACTAGTTTCTTAATCACGTGGTTGTTCTTCTGTGAAGCCCATCCTGCCTATCAGTCCTCCTGGAGATGAGGGACCATGTGTCTACAGCTGCACACCGGCTGCGTTCACACCAATTTGGGTGGACTTCTAGAAACAGCCTTGGATTAGCACTGGTCTACTTGTTTCCTTATGTATTTCCTTCTATTTATCTAATTCAGTCACTTCAAGCCTTTTTTAGACAGATTTTTTTTTTTTATCCTCAGGATTTTCCCCTCAGTGTCCTGGGTTTCATATGGCATTTAGTTAACTTTGTAGGTAATTAACTTTTAATAACAGCGCTACCAGCTCTGACACTGGCAGAGGTGGGTGTTAGAGAAGAACATGAGAGCAGGGCAGCTCTCCAGTGATACTTACTGAGTATTTTAACTATGCAGTGATACTTACTGAGTACTTTGACAGCCTCCTGAGATTTTGAACACATGTAAATACTTTAATATCCTGCAGCAAGGAGTTCCGCAGGAGAACTGCATGAGTGAAGTAAATCTTGCTTTGAATCTATTAGCATCCTTTAATGCCCCTTGGAAGAGACAGCTGACAATGAATCTTTATTCCCTTCTTCATTATATTTATAATTTCATGTCATTGTTTCTTTTTTCTCGCATGAGTTTATAACTGCTCAAGGGAGCTCTCTATTTCTGCATTTTCACTGTTGCTTGCAGTTCCTCCCATCTTTCAACATTGTTCTCTCCCTCTCATAAGTCATTAATGAAAGGTTTTTTTCTAAGATTGTTGTGAGCATCATGTACTGTGGACTTTCACAGCATTTCATGCGGGTTCCCACTGGATCCACACCTAAGAGTGATATCTACCCCTTATTTTAATTCATGGAATTATTTCTCAGGAGGTAGTAGTCAAAGAGAAAGTAAATCACCTATGAAATTCAATATGAAAGTGAAATTCAGAGAGTGCAATTGAGAGAATGAATTATAGGAACTGCTTGCATGTAAAACCTTCAGCAGAATACCACAAATAGCCATTAGAGGCCAAGAAAGTTATTGGTTTGAGGGGACATTGAATTCAGGAAAAATATTCAAATTCTCCATTTAAAGAGAAGATGACCGTGTATTTTTTTCAAGGCAGCACTCTTTCACATTGCATGCATCTTCCTCCTGTTCTGAACTGGCTGCTCACAGAAGGAAGATGAGCATCCTCCCATTGGGCAATGCGGGAAAATAATTTAATTTTCCTAGTGAGACACTTTGCACAAGCCAGACCGGAGGTCACTGTGGCCGTTTTGCAAGAGACACGAAAAAGACCACGTTAATCAATGCATTCAAAAAAATATTTGGAAGAGTTGGAAGCGCCACTATTAGAATAAACCCAGACCACTCTGTAAAATCCAAGTGAGGTAAGTACATTCCTGCAGGGAAGTATATCCTTAATAGACAACTTGAAGTATTTAAAATAGCCTCAAGCTGACAAGTATTCTGACACCTGACTCAAATCAGTGTGTTTCTCATATATTAGTAAGTGTAATGTGTAGATTTTAGAGAAATTATCCCCATTGAATTTATTAATATGTGACAGTTCCAAACTTTCAGCACCAGAATCTACAATATTAAAGTACAGTAACAGTTTGTTTCAGGATTATTGAAATGACCGTGTATGTTTGTCCCTACAGTATGTCTTCTACTGATCAAACAAATCTATTAAATAGATTAATCAGTTCAGTATTTCCAAAAAACAACATCCTGACTGCCATTGTGGGGACACTAGATTCAGCTTTTAAGGGAACTAATCAATTAAAAGAATAAAAGTGCTAAAAATTGTCAGTTCTTGTTAAATTATTGTATGGTAATTACATGGATGAAGAATCTTGGGACAAATAAAATTGCTCACGTAAGCAAAAGGAACCCCAAGGAGATGCTTAAGCTGTGTGTGAGGAGTGGGGATTGTCTGTGTATCCAACTGGCTTTGTCAGGCAGATAAGAGGTCAATTTTGATTAAAAACTAAACAAAGCCAACTAAAACCCTAATTGAAAATGTATTGTTTTAGCTGCTATCACATTAACGTGTCACTCTGTAGCCCTTTAGGAGCTGAATGGGTATGGAGGAATCAGGAGGGTGGTAATTTGGAGAGAAGCAGTCATATCACTTTTCCAGAACAAGAGGCTTACCTTGCTTCAGCTTTGCAAAAACATTCTGTATTTAGAGGTGAACATAGTTTGGAAAGGCCTAAGGAACCTGTATTGCACTGAGCAGGAGCTCAGGAGTGAACACGTGGAGTACCCTCAAGAAACATGCAGCTTTAATAGCCCTGGCTTCTCCCCCTCCCATCAGCTTTTCCTGCTTGCTGCAGAGCATTGAATTGTAGTCCTAACCCCATGGTCTAAGTGTGGAACAGGGATCATTGCTCCATGCAGCTGCTGGACCTTTCCTGAATCTGTGCCTGGAATGGCTGCCAAGGGATTTCTTAGTGCTGCAGAAAGTAGCAGTGGTGGTGGGTTTTTTAAGCTTATGCTTGTCACCATTACTCTCAGCAAGTACAGACCCATCTATTCTTGCTAAAACTTTGGGTGACCCATCCAAAGAGATACCACTCATATGTCTACACAGCACAGCTGGAGGGAAATTACTGGAGTGATTAGGGTGGTTGGAGGTAGATGACCAAGGTGATGGAGAAGTTGAAAGTGTCTGTGAGCCATCCATTTCAGTATCTTAATTTTTTTTCTAAAAACCCTGCAAGAAGTTAATCATGAAATAGAGCTGGGCAGCTTGAGCTGGCTGCCTTTGCCAGTAATTCCTGAGCACTGGGGCAAGCCACAGCAGTGTGATACCAGATAAGTGTCATTAGCTTCTCCTATGCTTTTAGAAATGTAGGAAGTGTACAAATGAGAGTAATAAAACTAATCAAACTTACTGGCTTGGTGAGAATATTATTATAAGCGTTTCTCGTGGCATATGGG